AGTGTTGAATAATTGAATGAATTGAATAATATTAATTTATAATTAATTTTACTATTAATTCATAGTAAAAATTGAATAAGAGTTTGTGAGAATGGGCAGTCTTCTCTTGAGCATAATCTTCGAGGGATGGCATTTTTGTTTTTACCGATGAGTAAGCTGCTTGCTGTGGCTTCATGGTTAATGGCTTTAACTATATTGAATAAAGTTTCTTCTTCATTTTACTGAGAACTTTTATCATGAATGGATGTTGGAGCTTGAGAAAATACTGTTTGTGCATTTATCTATTTATTTAAATTTTTAAAAAAATTTTTTTAATGAATCACCGTGAGGTACAGTTAGACTTACAAACTTTCGTGCCTACATTCCAGTCATACAATGATCGAGTATTCATCCCTCCACCAGTGCCCATTCTCCACCACCAATGATCCCAGTATCTCTCCCACCACCCCCCTGCACCCCCCTGTCCACCCCCCCCCCCCGCCACTGTGGCAGGGCATTCCCTTTTGCTCTCTCTCTCTCTCTCTCTCTCTTTGGGTGTTGCGGTTTGCAATATAGGTATTGAGTGGCCATCATGATCGGTCTATAGTCTACTTTCAGCCTGCATCTCCCATCCCGAGCGGGTCCTCCAATCACCCTTTACTTTGTGGTCCCTTCTCTATCTGAGCTGCCCTTTCCCCCAGCATGTGAGGCCAGCTTCCAAGCCATGGAGTAATCCTCCTGGTACTACTCTAGAGTGTAAGTCTCCCATTCTGTTACTTTATATTCCACAAATGAATACAATCTTTCTATGTCTGTCCCTTTCTTTCTGACTCATTTCACTTAACATAATACTTTCCATATTGATCCTTATATGCAAATCTCATTGTACATTTATTTATATGATCATATGATCTTTATTTTTCCTTGTATTGATATGGTATATTACATTGACTTATTTGTGCATCGGGGCCGGAGCGATAGCACAGGCAGGTAGGGCGTTTGACTTGCACTTGGCTGACCCGGATGTGATTTGTCCGTCCCTCTCAGAGAGCCCAGCAAGCTACCGAGAGTATCCCGCCTGCATGGCAGAGCCTGGCAAGCTCCCCGTAGCGTATTCGATATGCCAAAAACAGTAACAAGTCTCACAATGGAGATGTTACTGGTGCCCACCCGAGCAAACCAATGAACAATGGGAGGCCAGTGCTACAGTGCTATTTGTGTATATTTAACCATATTCAGTGATTCAATACCTCTGGCAAAGCAAATGAAAGCAAAGATAACCACATGAAGAAGTTTTCGGGGGAGCCAGAGAGATAGTACAGAAGTTAGGGCATTTGCCTTGTATGCAGTCAAACCTGGGTTTGATTCCTAGCACCTCATATGTTCCTCTAATCCTGCTGGCATGATCCCTGAGTGCAGACCAGGAGTAAACCCGGGCACCACCAGGTGTGGCCCCCAAACAAAACAAACAAAGCTTTTGGACCACAAATGAAATGATGACTAGAATAAAAAGATACCTCATAGGGGCCAGAGAGAATATAGTGGGCAGGGCACTTGCCTTACATGTGGGCAACCTGAGTTTGATCCCTGGCACCCCATCTGGTCCCCTGAGGACTGCCTGGAGGATGCTTGAATAGAGTCAGGAATAAACTTGGCACCTCTGGTTGTGGCTCCCCAAACAAAAACAAAACAAACAAAAGACAACTCACAGACTTGGAGAAAATATTTACCCACCACTCGTCCGTCAAAGGGTCAGTAACCAAAATATAAAAAGCACTTGCAAAACTGAACAAGAAAAAGAATCAATCAATCCATCGAAAAAAAAAATGGGGAGAAAAGATGAAGAGACACTTCTCAAAGATATATAGAAGGCTAAATAGCGTATAAAAATGTTCTGCATCACTAATCATCTGGGAAATGCAAATCTAAACAATGGGCTATTACTTCATACAGTGAGACTGGCTCATATCAAAAAGAACAAAACAACCAGTGTTGACGTGGGTTGTGGGGGAAAAGGAACTCTCATTCACTGCTGGTGGGAATGTTGATTGCTTCAACCTTTCTGGAAAATAATATCACACTACTCAAAAAACTAAGAATTGAGTTTCTGTATGACCCAGTAATTCTACTTCTAGGCATCTACCCCACAGGTTCGAATACTCTCTTCAAAAATGGCATCTGCACTCCTATGTTCATTGCAGCACTATTCATAATAGCCAAAATATAAAAACAAACCACGTGTCCAAGAATAGATGACTGGATAAAGAAACGTACTGAATATACATTATGGAATACTACTCAGCTCTGAGAAAAAATAAAATCATGAACTTTGCTCCTACATGGATAGAACTATTTTTCGTTTGTTTTTCTTTGGGCTACATATGATGATGCTCAGGGCTTACTCCTGGCTCTGTACTCAGGAATTACTCCTGGCAGTGCTTGGGTGACCAAGTGTGGTGCTGGGTCAGCCACATGCAAGGCAGTGCCCTACCTGTGGTGCTATCTTTCCAGCCCCAACTTGGATAGAATTGAAGGGTATCCCCTCTCCCTGTGTTTCCAGAAGTTTGGTAGTCATGCCCACAAAGTGCCTCTGGCACCATATAATCTCATTAACGACCATGATGCAGAGACTTAGAAATAAAGCTCTTGGGAAGAGAGCAACACAGAACGACATGCGACATGCGACATGCGACAGAAATGCCTCCAGGCCCTGCGTGATGCTGTCTCATCCAGGGCAATCTGGAGAGGGGCGGGTCAGTTCCCCTCTGCACCCCAACAGAGCCAACGCAGCCAAAAACCTCCAGAACTCAATTGCCGCCATGCTCACGGCCACTCTCCACAGGCTTGAATGAGCCTCGTCCATGAGTGAATCTGCTATATAACCCTATTTTAAATTGCTGGAGTGATAGCACAGCGGTAAGGCATTTGCCTTACGCGCAGCCAGTCTGGCTGAGCCGGGTTCGATTCCTCCGCCCCTTTTGGAGAGCCTGGCAAGCTACCAAGATATATTCAATATGCCAAACATTGTAACAACAAGTCTCACAATGGAGACGTTACTGAGTCTGCTCGAGCAAATTGATGAACAACGGAGGGCAGTGCAGTGCAGTGCATACTTTACACCACTAATGTACCAAGAATAGCTCACCACATCTGATGGGGTTTAAAGTAGAAGATAACCATCTTAGTGGTTATACACACACACACACACACACACACACACACACACACGGCTCAACCTTTAACAATGTTGGTAATCTCTTACACAAGGGTTTAATGGCTCCATGGTGAATTACAACCATCTTCACACACTTTTTTCTAAGGTAACTTCTGGGGATCATTTTTAGTGGAATATTCATAATAAGCAATACAGAATAAATTATTTTGGTTCTGCTTTGGGGACGACAGGGTTTGGGATTCAAAAATGGTGGTGGGAAGGTGTAATGGTGGTAGGATAATTAATGTAAATTGGTGTTAGAATAATAATAAATGTGATAAATTATTGTGATCAACGTTTTAATATTAAATAAAATTTAAAAACTGAAGGATATTCTGAATGACGTACATAAATCAATTGTAGTGGAGAAACATAATGGAATACTACTCAGCTACAAGAAAAAACAAAATACGCACTTTGCTGTTACATGATAGAACTGAAGAGTATCATGCTCGTGACGTCAGCTTGAAGAGAAACAGATCAGAAGGATCGCTCTCATATAGGGGATGGAAAGAAGCATAGTAGGGGTCAGAGCCATAGTACAGCAGGTAAAGCCCTTGCCTAGCACAGGGTGTACCCGGGTTGGATTCCCGGCACCCCATATGATCTCCTGAGCCTGCTGGAAATAAAGTCCTGAGCAACACCGGATGTGGCACAAAAACAAACATAAAAGGGGCTGGAGCGAAAATACAGCTGGTAGGACCCTCGCCTTGCACATGGCTGGGTTCTATTCTCAGCATCCCTGATGGTCCCTCGGGCACCACCAGGACTTGAGAGCAGAGCCAGAAGTAAGCCTTGAGCATCCTGGTGGAGCCAGGACTGAATGGGGGGGGGGGGGGGGGGAAACTGGGATGGGGGTGGTGTGGGGGGGCTTGGGTCATGATGGAGGGGGCTCTGACATTCTGATGTACGGTGTGGTCTTGGGACATCGCATGCATGAAACCCACCCTAAAATAAAATAAAGAAAATAACAATTCTCAAAGATGAAAGATCTGATAGAGGAAAGCTTCCTAACCGTGAGCCCATTACAGAAGCCTTTCTGAAGAAGGGGTCCCTAACCCCAGATGAGATCTGATGGGTAAGCCTGGGGATGAGAAGAGTAGCAAAGGCTTTGGAGGGGCAGCAAGAACCCACTCAGAGGGGAGAAACAGCGGGGTGCGCCAAGGGGCGAGGACGGGTAGGAAGGAGTTAGCCCGGCAAGCGTGGGTAGGTGTGCCCAGTTTTCAGGTCCAGTACCTTCTGAGTGCTGCTTTCCCTCCGAAACGCAAAGCATTCTTTTTCAGTGGTTTACAGCAGCACCTCAAGCGAAGACAACTCTAGCGCGCACAATTGCGGGTCAGCCAGCCGAACCCAGCTACCTTCCAGAGCGTCCCCGCCCTCCGGTGGGGGGGGTGGGGCTGATCACCATGGCAACTAGGTTAGGGCGGAAGTGGCTCCGCTCTCTTAATCAGGTGACTCTCCTGTCTCCTGCACGTGACACCAGCGCCTGGGCGCGCTCCCCACCTACTCAGACTCCGCCCCTCTCTCCTTAAACTCCTAATTGACAGCCACCTGGAGCAATGATCTTCGCAAGTCCAGCAGGAGACCCCGCCCCACGGTCGTGAAAGAACCAATTAGACTTAGGGGGGGGAAAAAAAAAGAAGCACCGCCCCAGGTTCCATCCCCGGTTTGACAGACGCGATTGAGGCCGTCCCCGGGTCCCTCCTCCCCTAGTCAATTCCGGACGACGACGGACAGGCCTTCCGCCCAATAGCCTGCCCGCCACTCGCCGCTGGGTCCCGCCCCCGCTGGAGGGGAACCAATGACCGAGCCGGGTCTCGGCGGGGCGGAGGGGGTTGCACTGCGGTAATATGGCTCTTCCTTGAGCCCGCGGCGGCGGCGGCGGCGGCGGCCGGAGCGCGGCTGGAGCAGCCCTGCCTCGCAGGTGGCGGCTTCCTCGGCCGCAGGGGCTCGGCGGGTCGTGGCGAGGCGGCGGTGGCGGATGTCGCAGGAGCGTGGGCCCCGCCGCTGGGCGGCCCCGGGCTCCAGATGAGCGCCTCAGCGTCTGTCGGGGGCCCGGTCCCCCCGCTGCCCCCGGGCCCGGCCGCCGCGCTGCCTCCCGGCTCTGCCGCGCGGGCCCTGCCTGTGGAGCTGCGGTCCCAGCAGGTAAGTCCGCGGGCTCGCGGCGCCCGGGGGGCTCCCGGGGGGCTCCCGGGCGGGAGCTGGCGGGCGGCGGGCGCAACTGCGTGCCAGCCCGGAGACCCGGCGGAGTGGCCGGGGCCAACTCGGAAGCCCGAGGAGCGCGCCCCGGGGTCGAGCGAGGCAGGGGTCCAGCGGTGGCCGGAGGGCGGGGAGAGGAGAGCCGGGACCCGCGCCCGTCGCACGCCCCCCGGGAGCCGGGATGCCCTCGCGCAGACCCGCCGCCGCTCCCCCGGCGCCCGGGGACACCCGGGAAGCGGCTCCTCCCGGCTCGCAGGGGTCGCAGCCCCCGCTCTCCCCCGCGGCAGAAGGGAGCGGCTGCGCGTCCAGCCTTGACTTTCTCTATTTTTTTGCGAAGCGTTCGTCTCCTCTCACGTCTTCAAGTGGGGACCTGGGGAGGGGGGTTTCCTTGGGAATTCCCAGACCTCCAAGTTGTATTTCCCCACTTTCTACTCTGTTTTAATTTCTAAAGCAACTTTAAGGGGCTTTCCCCCCCCCCCCACCCCCCTATTTCTCGCGCCCCCCTCCCGTGAGCGTCGGTGGCTGGAGGAGCTGATGTGTTATTGCTTATCAGGGCCCTGCAGCGCGCATCGTGCATCGATCTCGGACGAGAAAGCACCTGGCTTGGGGCTCTGTCAACTTTGTCGTGCACGTGCGCCCGGCCTTTTTTTCGGAGGGAGACTCTGCAGCAAGGTTAGGTGGAAGTGAATGAAAATCCGTTCCACCCGCTCTCTTGGTTGCTCCTTCCAAGAGGAGACCCCCATGGAAGCCGGTGACTGAGACGCGACCATGCTTGGCCCTGTGCCCGGTGCGGGGTCCCCTGTCTGGCCTGGCACCGGATGCCGACAGCTCTGAGATGGCTGTTTTATGGGCCCCCATTTCTGACGCCGGGGACTCAGGCTCCCAGGCGTGCAATCACTGGTCCCAAGCCGTGGCTGGTCGCGGTTGCAGAATCTGGCGTCTGCCCTGGTCGCCTGTGCCTGCGGGCATTTTGTTGGAGATTTGAGCAACCGTCTTCGCTAATTTCCTGCCTTATGCAGGACAGACAGAGCCAGTTCCTTTGGACCCTTCCTCCAGCTTCCCATCCCTGTGTGGTACTGGAGATTGATCCCAGGAAAAGTGAAGGTTGGGAAGTGGGCTTGATTTGAATGCAAGACAAAGGTGGAGTGTTAAAGGGCTAAGGGTGGGAGAGAATACCCCTACAGGGGTGGCCGCTGAGCTGTTTGCAGAAACAGGACTTTGTGATTTAAAGGACTGGGGTTGTGGGGAAGTGAGAATAGGGGCCCAAGCCAATACTTTGCATGCGAGAGACCCAGGTTCTCTGCCCTGTGTTGCCTAGTTCCCATCAGGAGCAGCCCCAGGGCACCTCAGAGCTCCTCCTTCTTCTCCCTCTCCTCCCCCCAAAAGATTGGGAATGTTTATACCTTAATTTTGTGGTCCTAATGGGTAGGGAGCTCCTGGAGAATGTTATGACTTTGAGGGTAGTGAAATTTAGATTGTATTTATGAGGTGCTGGCCAGAAAGCAATAAGGGCAAGAGAGGGAGTAGTGGGGGCTGCTAGCTTTGGGCTCATGTGAACATTATTATTATTATTATTTTTTTTGCTTGTGTGTAGTTGGATGTATGGTGAGCCTTGTTACAAGCAGCCAGGAGAAAATCCGAAGCAGTCAAGGGCCAAGAGGGATTTGATTTAGTTTCAGCTTTGGGAAAATGTGGGATTAGGAAAGAGAAAGCATCATTTGTTTTCTGGGCTTGTCCTCTGATACCAGTTCACGGTTTAACACTGGGGGAAATAATCTAAACAAACTGTCCATGGAATAAATTCAGCTGCATTTGCGAGCGTTTGTCAAATTTTTGGATTTGTGCCGAGAGCTATATAGTGGCTAAGTGTACACTGAATGCGGTAGAGCATGGGGGAGTATGGTTTCTACAGCTTTTTTGTGGGTGTCATCCTTCTTGAATTCTTGGAAGGCAGCCTGTATAATAAAAACGCTTTTGCAATTAACATTCATTTAGCTTTCTGGGTCAAAATGCTCATGCTTTTAGCGTGCGCATATGTGTGTGTGTGTGTGTGTGTGTGTGTGTGTGTATCTAAATATAACCTACGTATCTATGTATAGAAACACAAAAACTTGTGTTATTTGAATACATAAGTACACTATTATTAGTACATAAGTTATTAGTACACAAAGGTCCTAAACACATTTATATAACCTCTACTTCAGTTAAGAAATTCACAGTCGGGGCTGGAGCAATAGTTCAGCGGATAGGGCATTTGCCTTGCACGTGGCTGACCTGGGTTCAATCCCCAGCATCCCATTTGGTCCCTGAGCACCGCCAGGAGTGGCTCTCAGTGCAAAATTCGCAGTTGTTAGCATACCAGAATTCTGCCTTATGTTTTCTTCTTTCTACCTTTCCTTTAGATTCCTAATGATTCCTAATATAACAGATCAGTTATTGTCAGTTCTTGAACTAGATATAAATTGAATCATGCAAAATATAGTCTTTTGTGTCTTGTTTACTGTGGAGTGGGGTGGGGTGCTATTCCTGGCCAGTTGCTGGGGGTGGGGAGTCACTCCAGGTGAGGGTTGAAGTATCATATAGAGTGCTGGGGATCAACACTGGACTTCTAGACTGGTTTTATTCTGGACGAAACCCAGCATTTTGTGTCCAAAGCATGTGCTCCAGCCCTTTGAGCTATCTCCCTGACCTTTTAGCAAATTTTAATCTTATTTTATCAGATTACTGTGTTGTCTTGTGCTTATGACTTTTGCAAGATTTAGATCAGTAGACCCCTTCTCGGAGAGCCCTGCAAGCTACCGAGAGTATCTCGTCCGCACGGCAAAGCCTGGGAAGCTACCCGTGACATATTCGTTATGCCAAACACAGTAACAGTTGTCACAATGGAGACATCACTGGGCCCGCTCGAGCAAATTGTTGAACAACGGGAGGACAGAGACAGTGACAGATCAGTAGAAATTCAGTTTTATTTTAAAGAACTGTAAAAATTAGCGTCAGTGGCAGGAGGAGCTGATGTATTGTTTTATTTTAGTGGACCCCATGCTATTTGAGAAGGTGTCAATATTTCTAAATCTCGATTTAGGAATTCTGTGATAAAGTTGATTTTTAAAAATATAGATTAGTTGGTTCCCCCACCTTCCTACTCATTTGAACCTCAATAGTATTGATATTTTGTGTGGGTAGTTGGTGATATCAAAGACCTCAACCCACAGTATACCAGCAGCATCTGGTCAAAAAATGTCATCAGTTTTTAGCAAATGTTTAGGGGACAAAATTACTCCTGGTTGAGAATAATCATTCTAAAGGATACAGCATTTTCATTTTGGGATAGAGAGTATTTCTGCTATTATGAACTCATTTCTTTCATGTTTTCTTAAGTCCTATTTTTTTCTAATGACTTTATTATATTAATTTTTGGGAGGCTCAAAGAAAACTCACAAAACTATTGGTTCTGAATTATTTCTGTCTTATTTAAGCCACTTATCTTACAAGAGCAACTCCTTAACCTTTACATGTGTGAATGCTAACTATAGTTCATAATAGTTATTTGACTGTCAAGTAGAACTACAATTTAATCTTTGCTTCCTTTTGCCTGTAATTTAACCATAAACTAGTCAAGCATTTTGAAGACTCTTTTTTGCTCTTTAATTTTTGGTTGAGGTTTATAATTAGTGACATAGCTCACTTGAAGAATAACTTCCTTCACACCCTTAGATTTGAGAATCTTGAAATAACATTTTGTGATGCAGACATTTAATACGTCCTTAAAAGTTTCATTGAGATTGTTTCTTTTTTCCCCAGGTATAATCTAAATATAACCTATGTGATAAGTATAAATATACTTATGGGAGTATAACCTAACCATGTTTCTTTGGTACTCAGAACTTGGGAGACTACTTAGTAATTCTTCAGCTATCGTTTTTGGGGTGTGGAATGTCACATATTCTTTAAGTCTTTGGTAAAAGTTAGGGCCCAGGGACGCAGTTCATCAGTAGAGCTTGTGTGTGTGTGTGTGTGTGTGTGTGTGTATGAGAGAGAGAGAGAGAGAGAGAGAGAGAGAGAGACCCTACATTTGGTCCCCACTATTGCATAAAAGAGTGTGTTAAAGCTGGGAGCTGGAGAGATAGTACAGTGGGTAGGGTCCTTACCTTACATTGGCTGACCAGGGTTCAATCTTGGCATCCAATGGTTCCCAGAGAACCACTAGGAGTGGTCCCTGAGCGCACAGTCAGGAGTAACTCCAGAGCATTGCTGGGTGTGGCCCAAAAATGAAAACCAAAACCCCTCCCCAAAAAAAGAGAGCGTGATAAAACTTTGTATATTTTCTTTAGAAAATGAACCTTGGGTTTAGAGAGAGAATTCAGTGAGCTGAACACATGCTTTCTTTTCTAGAGGTCTCATTTTACTCCCTACAAAGGGTTGCCATCCCCCAGCACTGCCTGAAATGACCCCCCATACTAGGAGCTGGGAATTGTTTCCGAGCACTGCCAGTATGAACCACCTGCCCTTCCCCCCCCCCAAAAAAAGAAAAGAACTACTATTTATTCATAAATACAGTTGCAGGAAAATTTGGTTCTCTGGAGCTGAAAATAGAGGTCCTCTGATTAAATAGATTGGTTTAACCCCTCCCTCAAAAAATTCAATTTAGGGGCTGGAGTGATAGCACAGCGGGTAGGGTGTTTGCCTTGCACGCAGCCGACCCAGGTTCGATTCCCAGCATCCCATATGGTCCCCTGAGCACCGCCAGGAGTAATTAATTCCTGAGTGCATGAGCCAGGAATAACCCCTGTGCATCGCCGGGTATGACCCAAAAAGCAAAAAAAAAAAAAAAAAAAAAAAATTCAATTTAGGGCCTAGAGCAATAGCACAGTGGGTAGGGTGTTTGCCTTGCACGTGGCCAACCCAGGTTTGATTCCCAGCATCCCATATGGTCCTCCGAGCACCGC